TCTCATTCACTCACTCCCTCTCTATCGGTTGTGTATGTATTTAATGGTAAAGACTTTTTATGATTATGTGAGACATTAATTATCTCGACGACTGCAATGTATATTTCATTCATTTAAACTCTGGCACTCACACTAACAATCGCTCCCCTTTTAATATGTATTCAATTTGTTGCCATATATTTCTCTAATTAAATATTTATAGCCCAATATATTGTACGTTTCGCTGCTATTTCTTATGAATAATGCAAACAAACACTTGTTGTTAAAGTAACGATCTCTCTCTCTCTCTCTCTCTCTCTCTCTCTCTCTCATTCACTCACTACTCACTAACACTATTGTGTTCATCAAAATTCTTAACATTATTTACAAATGCATTATTTTATTAATACATTTATTAAATTAAATTATTTATTTATTTATTTATTTTTTCGTTTCTAATTATTTATAAATACAGTTCTGTTTATATGGGAAGGAGAGGTCTCTGTAAAATAATTTTAGACATTATTTGATACGAGTTTAGTTTAATTAAAAAACTTTCACGTAATAAATATATGATTAGCAAAAGAGAATATATTTTAAAAAATGTTGAAAAAAGCTAAAAACACAATAACAACAAAGAAAACATAGAGTAATCTTCTTTCGGATTTAAAATTTTAAATAAATATTTCGCTTAACAGGGAATAGAGATATTTGTTGTGAACTTTGTTTAAAAGCTTTCGGTGTTTGATTAAAAAATGTGAAATCTTTTGGCAATTTTTTAGTGATAATAACTTAACAAAATGTTTAAATAAAATTATATTAAAATATATTCTCTGTTTTTAGGCTGTCTTTTTAGTGACGAACTCTGCGATACACTAGAAGTCTGTTTGGATGGTATGTATTGATAATTAATTAAACATAATTTAATGCAAAATTTTTTTTAATTATAAAAAATAAATGACATTTTTAAATATCTCTATGAATATATTCTGAACGGAAATAATTTACATAAAAATTGTTATAAAACACAATAAAACCTCACTTACATTTCAATTAAGGAATAAAAATCTAATAATATTTTGCTATACAATAAGTCAATGAAAAATATATTTTATAAGAATATAATTTTTATTGCATTTATAATTCAATTTTATATGGTTTTTGTCTCAAATGAGTCGTAATATTAGTTGTGAATAATGTTAGAAATTTTAAGCAAATTTAAACATAAAAACACTTTTTAAAAGCTTTTTAAATTAGTTATTCATATTTTGCACAACTATTTCTGGAATTATTAATTGAGTTTTGTATCAAAAAATAAATTCATTTTACATGAACGCAAATTTCAAAGAATTATTGATTGAATTATTGCTTTTAAAAAATAACAGACAATGCGTTTGGACGGTGCGAACGGGTAGAAGACCTGAGCGATGGCCAAACGGTGGCCACATATCAACACTCGCTAAACGATAAGACATTACGTCTATTAGAAAATGAAATGCAAAGACTTTACGTAACCGGTTATCGATGGGATAATGAATACACACAGTGTGTCGTCAAACAAATACTATACACACATAGACTGCGAATCGATTACGACCCGGGATTGTGCTCACGGCTCCTCCACTTAACCTCATCTCATATTGTATGTGATTATTGTTTTTATGCACTTTCATTATACAGTATATCGACTTTTGTTAATAAATCATTTGTTTATTGCATTAACAAATAAATGGCTCATTTAATGGACTCTATGTTTGTACTGAAACTACAGGCGCCCGAGACTTCAATAGACCTGAACATGAAAACGCCGCCCGAAAACGTATTGGCAAACATTGAGTACATCCCAGACTATGAGACGGACTTTGCGAAAGAGATCTTTTTAAACCTCAACGATGGCAAACATAATGATAAAAATACTTATCATTTCGATAGCAAGAGGCGAATGGAGAATAAAGTGGAAATCGATGACAAAGTGTTTGAGTTTTTGAAAAAACTGATTGAATCGCAAATTAAAAACAAAGAGAAATTGCTGTCGGATTCCGATTCACTTGAACTGTCTGACCATAAGGTGTGTTTCCCATCATTTTTATTGTTAATAATCATATTCTGTATTTTGTTTTTCAATTCTATAAATCATAAGTACAATGAAAACTAAAAGACAGCAAAAATTGAATCTTTGTTTTTTGTGAAATCGTTTCATAGATCGCAGCCTTAGAGACGGATTTATCATCGGATTTGAATGGAAAGCCTGTGTATAGTGAGGGCGGTGTGGAGTGGCTTCCAGTGGAGGGCGAAGACATCAGAGACGATGCCATCAATGCTGACGACTATTACTCCAACAGTATATCAGATGATAGAGAAAAATCGATACCAGAATCAGATTCGCTGATTACTGGTGGCGACGCCGACACTGATAGCAAACCACTCTTTTTGGAGCCCATTTATAAAGATAGGGGTCGGCTGTCATACCATACCATACTTTAACATCCATTTCAAAGGAATTGCAACAATTTGTGACTAATATATAATCGATTTTTTAGATCTGCCGGACGTGTATTCAACAGATAATGTCGACAGAGATATATTCAACGCCATTATTGACGGCCAGGAAGACGACGATCAGACAGATTACGATGAGGAGGAAGAGGACAACGCACTGTCCATTGGCCGCAGTTTTCCCCGTCAGCACCGGTACGATACGAAGAAACCCGGACCGAGTTATTACATACACGAGTTTGACTCTTCGGAGGAATCGGAACCATTTGAAAAGGTATTTTCAATTGTTAATTATATTTGTGCGCTTTTTATTTGTGATAATTTAGTATACGATTAATTTATATCATCTTTAGATGATATGTAAATATAACGTGAATTTTGTTGAACTGTTGCTTTTAGTGTTATTTTCTTTATAGACAACACTTTTATACATTATTTTAAGACTTAATATCCTTAAAATGATGGCACACTTTATCAAAGAATCTTCTTTACTCTCTTAAAATTTAATAAAATTGTTTTTGTTTTACAGAATATACCATAATATAGATATTTCTCAGTATACAGTATAACTTATATTAATATATTGTATAAAGTGAGCCATAAATTATAAAATACTATAATATTACACGCAATGTAATAATATAGTCATAAATAGAGGTTTCCTTTTGATAGTGATTTAAAATTCAATTGAAAGCATATATAAAATGCATGAAAATTGTTTACATATCCGCACAATATATAATAAACACAGAATATATAGAATGCTGTATATATTGTGCTGTATATAAAAGTATAGTTTTACATTGAAATTGAATGTTTGAAGTTTGAAGTTGAATGAATTGAAATTTGCATTGTTTTTAAATGGTATCATGAAATTATTATATAAAACAATTGGTATGAAAATAATAATTTGGCGAAAAATTTTAGTTACGTTATATAATTTGGTATTATTTTAGTTCATCACAAAAAGTGAATTCTCAGTAAATATTGATTATATGAATACAGTATTCAGATTATGTAAATATAAGCCATTACTATGCAGAATATACTGTATATTCATACGGTATATACCGTATCATCAATTCATCTCTTAGCAAACCAGTGGCACAGGTATGGCTCATGCAGTCTATGTGTGTATAGTATTTGTTTGACGACACACTGTGTGTATTCATTANATGAATACGTTTGTACGGCTAAAATGTGTTTCCCATCGAGAATCCAATCGCATAGCGTTGGCTTTGGATCACATGTTGAGCACAAATATTGCACAAAATGTGTGAAAGCAAATGCAAACTGACTGTACATTTGTAAAGAAAAGCCATTGATTACTATTATAACCCCAAAATCCAATGTCAAACGGCAACAGGAGATCGACTTTGATCTTAAAAAACACTTTTCTTGGTGTGGAAAATGCTATAAAACACATAATATATATGAAATATTCAGTACACAATTGTATTTGTTCTCAATTTTCTTAGTTTTTATCAACTCTTTATTTTTTCTGTTCTCATAAGTGTTTGTAATTAAATTAAGAATTTGTTTATCTCAAAGACTCAACTTCTTAGCCTAATAACTAATATTGAATATATTATTTTTACTTTGAATTAATTATTAATAAAAGATATAAAAATGTGCGACAAATCCTATATTTGTATGACATTTAGTTAGAGTTTCATTTTAAATGAAGAATAATATTCTGTAGTGTTGTGTATATCGCGTGGGCGTCTGTATTGAGGTCTAAAAACGGAATATATTATACAATTTCCAGTTCAACCAAGTTTGAACAATATATACATTTTCCATGAAAACTCATTAATTATAAGTTACTATAATTACTATCTATTATTTTTATAATTATGTATTTTATTTATATGTAACT